GCCACCGGGTCGTCCCCTTATATACACGGGTGACGCCCGTCGGTCCATAGAGTCCTAACCGGTTCATACTCGTATTCCGGTTGCTATCTTCCTATTCCTTACTTACAATACAAGTCATACATCAGGCCGGTTTACGGCTACATGCTCTAACCGACTACAGGCCTTGGGCCTTCATCTGTTTACGCCACTGATGAAGTTAACCCGGCCCAAGTAGGCCGGTTTACGCCTAGTGGTAATATCCCCAACACATACCCAATGCGTCGGGGCCGATCACTCTCTTCTGTGACAACACTGGAGCTATTGCCCTTGCCAAGGAGCCCAGGTTTCACAAGAAGACCAGGCACATCAAGCGTCGCTTCAACTCCATTCGTGAAAATGTTCAAGATGGAAACATAGATATTTGCAAAGTACATACGGATCTGAATGTCGCAGATCCGTTGACTAAACCTCTTCAGCAAGCAAAACATGATCAACACCAGAACTCTATGGGTGTTCGATTCATCACAATGTAACTAGATTATTGACTCTAGTGCAAGTGGGAGACTGTTGGAAATATGCCCTAGAGGCAATAATAAAATGGTTATTATTATATTTCCTTGTTCATGGTAATTGTCTATTGTTCATGCTATAATTGTGTTATCCGGAAATCATAATACATGTGTGAATACATAGACCACAACATGTCCCTAGTGAGCCTCTAGTTAACTAGCTCATTGATCAATAGATAGTCATGGTTTCCTGACTATGGACATTGGATGTCATTGATAACGGGATCACATCATTAGGAGAATGATGTGATGGACAAGACCCAATCCTAAGCATAGCACAAGATCATGTAGTTCGTTTGCTAGAGCTTTTCCAATGTCAAGTATCATTTCCTTAGACCATGAGATCGTGTAACTCCCGGATGCCATAGGAGTGTTTTGGGTGTACCAAACGTCACAACGTAACTGGGTGACTATAAAGGTATACTACAGGTATCCCCGAAAGTATCTGTTGGGTTGACACGGATCGAGACTGGGATTTGTCACTCCGTATGACGGAGAGGTATCTCTGGGCCCACTCGGTAATGCATCATCATAATGAGCTCAATGTGACCAAGTGTTTGGTCACGGGATCATGCATTACGGTACGAGTAAAGTGCCTTGCCGATAACGAGATTGAACGAGGTATTGGGATACCGACGATCGAATCTCGGGCAAGTAACGTACCGATTGGCAAAGGGAATTGAATACAGGATTGATTGAATCCTCGACATCGTGGTTCATCCGATGAGATCATCGTGGAACATGTGGGAGCCAACATGGGTATCCAGATCCCGCTGTTGGTTATTGACCGGAGAATCGTCTCGGTCATGTCTGCGTGTCTCCCGAACCCGTAGGGTCTACACACTTAAGGTTCGGTAACGCTAGGGTTGTAGAGATATTAGTATGCGGTAACCCGAAAGTTGTTCCGAGTCCCGGATGAGATCCCGGACGTCACGAGGAGTTCCAGAATGGTCCGGAGGTGAAGATTTATATATAGGAAGTCCAGTTTCGGCCATCGGGAAAGTTTCGGGGATAATCGGTATTGTATCGGGACCACCGGAAGGGTCCCGGGGGTCCACCGGGTGGGGCCACCTATCCCGGAGGGCCCCATGGGCTGACGTGGGAGGGGAACCAGCCCCTGGTGGGCTGGTGCGCCCCCCATGGGCCTCCCCCTGCGCCTAGGGTTGGAAACCCTAGGGTGGGGGCACCCCACTTGGCTTGGGGGGCAAGTCCCCCTTGGCCGCCCCCCCCCCCTTGGAGATCCCATCTCCTAGGGACGGCCCCCCCTAGGGGCCCTATATATAGTGGGGGGAGGGAGGGCAGCGGTACCCAAGCCCTTGGCGCCTCCCTCTCCCCTCGTAACACCTCTCTCTCTCTCTCGTTGGAGCTTGGCGAAGCCCTGCCGAGATCACCGCTGCTTTCACCACCACGCCGTCGTGCTGCTAGATCTCCATCAACCTCTCCTTCCCCTTGCTGGATCAAGAAGGAGGAGACGTTTTCCCACCCGTACGTGTGTTGAACGCGGAGGTGCATTCCGTTCGGCGCTTGGTCATCGGTGATTTGGATCACGACGAGTACGACTCCATCAACCCCGTTCTCTTGAACGCTTCCGCTCGCGATCTACAAGCGTATGTAGATGCACTCCCCTCTCACTCGTTGCTAGATGACTCCATAGATTGATCTTGGTGATGCGTAGAAAATTTTAAAATTCTGCTATGTTCCCCAACACTTACTTCAACAAACCTCCTACTTATGATTAACCCTCCCGTAAGCATCCGCAATTACGAGAAAAGTATTAAGAATAAATTCCAACCATAATATTAAACTTTTGGATCCAATCGGTCCCTTACGGAATAGCGCATAAACTGGGGTTTAAGCTTCTGTCACTCTCGCAAAACATCATCTAATTGCTACTCCATAGTGCATTCCCTTAGGCCCAAATATGGTGAAGTGTCATGTAGTCGACTCACATGACACCACTAAGTAAATCACAACATACATACTATCAAAATATCGAACACATATCAAGTTCACATGATTACTTGCAACATGATTTCTCCCGTGACCTCAAGAACAAAAGTAACTACTCACAAATGATAATCATTCTCAAGATCAGAGGGATATTAAATAGCATAATGGATCTGAACATATATTTTCCGCCATACAAACCATATAGTAATCAACTACAAGATGTAATCAACACTACTAGTCACCCACAAGCACCAATCTATAGTTCCGGTAACAAGATTGAATACAAGAGATGAACTAGCGTTTGAGATGAGATGGTGATGTTGAAGATGTTGATGGATATTGCCTTCCCCAAGATGGGAGAGTTGTTGGTGATGATGATGACGATGATTTCCCCCTCCGGAAGGAAAGTTCCCCCAGCGGAATCGCTCCGCCGGAGGGCAAAAGTGCTCCTGCCCAAGTTCCGCCTCGAGACGGTGGCGCTCCGTCCCGAAAGTCCTCTCTCTATTTTTTCTAGGTCAAAATGGCCTATATACCAGAAGATGGGCACTGGAGGTGGGCCTGGGTGAGCACAACCCACCAGGGCGCGCCAGGGCTCCCTGGCGCGCCCAGGTGGGTTGTGCCCACCTGGTGGGCCCCCTCTGGTACTTATTTGCTTCAATTCTCAAATAATCCATAAAAAATCTCCGTGAAGTTTTAGCTTGTTTGGAGTTGTGCAGAATATGTGGCTTGACGTAGCCTTTTCAGGTGCAGATTTCCAGCTGTCGGAATTCTCCCTCTTTGTGTATACCTTGCATTTATGAGAGAAAAGACATTAGAATTACTCCAAAAAGCATTATTATGGATGAAAACATTATAAATAACAATAAGAAAACATGATGCAAAATTGACGTATCACGCCACCTCGACAGGGCGCTCGCTGGCCGCCGTGAGCTGCGCCACGGCGGGGCTCCGCGCGCTCGCCGCGGACCCGGACACGTGGCGCGCGTTCTAACTCGCCGAGTGGCCGTCCCTCGCGGCCCAGCACGTGCTCCTCTCCGCGGTGCCGCCGCGCCGCCTCTTCGCCGACGCGTCCCCTTTCCTGTGCCCGGCGCCGGCGGGCTCCCCGCGAGGCTCGTCTCCGTGGTGGACGTGGACTACAGGGGCGCGCCCGTGCTGTCCCGCGTGGTGGACACGCCCGCGTCGTCGTCGTGGTTCCTCAGCTCGCCGTTCCGCGTCGAGGCCGTGGACTGCAAGTAGTCGGCTCCAGTGGCGGCGGCGTTCTCTCTGGCGGAGCTCGAGCTGAGCTGGGTGGTCATCGACCCCGCCCGTGGCTGGGCGGTGAACGTGTCGAGCCGGCGGGCGGTGGCCTTGGGCCGGCACTGGTACATCGGCGAGACGCCGGTGCAGTTCGCGGTAGTGCTGGGCGGGTGCAACTTCAAGACCACCGTGGCCTGCTCCGAGGAGGTTGGACACGTCGGCGAGGCCCGCGGAGAACGCCGAAGGCGCGGCGGTGAGCGGCGAGGGTGCCCTCCGGCTTCTGGCCGCGGCAATGGAGGGCCGGAGGAGGGGAGGCGAGAGAGAGCGGGAGGAGGCCAAGGCGAGGTACGAGGTGTTCGTCAGGAGCAAGAAGGGGAGGAAGGAGAGCAAGGCGCGAAGAGAGGTGCTCATAGACCTGTGCTGCTCCGCCGCCAGCGCCGTCGCCGTGCTGGCCTTCTTCGCCACCGTCGTGCTCCGGTGACAAGTTCTTTTTGCCACCGACGGACGGATCCAGCAATGAGTTTATTCATGCATGATGTAGGTGCACAGTAGGCATCATGCGGGAAATGAATTGCTTTGTGTAAGATTCCTATATGGTATTTCTGCGCTCCAAATAAGACGGCATCAAGCAAGAACTAACGTATCCCGCAAAAAAAAAGCAAGAACTAACGTGTATTTACATCTTCTCCCTGGCAGCTAGAGTGTGTACATCCATTCTAGTGACAAAGTTTTCCTCCTAATAAATTTAGGTGAAAATGACAGAGAAGTGGAGAGACAGAAAAATCTGCCATGCAATGTGTGACATTCAAACGACACAGTTCTCCGTCCTTAGGTATGGGGGGAAAAGTATCTACCATTGAGTGCATTGGCAGCCACAGTACGCAAGTACGATCAAAATCTACTGTTCCCCCACCTACAGCAATTAATGAAGTTTCTTTGAAGTACTCCTGCTAAGTAGGAACAGCAAAGCACTGGCTCCAGGACAGCCATGGGGAAAACATTGTTCTAGCACAGGATTGTATCAGACACCTGTCGATGTCGACGAGGTTAAAGAGCAGGAACATTATCTGATATGCTCTTGGATCTGTTGTTCTTGCAGAACATAAAATTCAACACAATATTACGCGTCGATTACATTAAAAAATTATGTTCTTGCAAAACATAAAATTCAGCATAATTACACATCGGCTTTTCTCTAAGAGCATCGCAATCTACTTTATTTACATTATTTTTTAAGCAACAAGCATCAGCACAACACGCATTTTTTCAGGTGTTGCCGACTGGCTTAGGAGGGCCTCTTGCTATTGGAACTACGTCTGCGGCACGGCCCTGTTTAGCCTTTGCAATGTCGACATATATAACTCGCCCATTAAGTACCTGTTGCAAGCTTGCATTGCTCAGCTCTTCTTCTTTTTCAAATGGAGCGGCAAAAATACAGATTACTACTCCCTCCGTCCGAAAATACTTGTCATCAAATGGATAAAAGGGGATGTATCTAGATGTATTTTAGTTCTAGATACATCTCTTTTTATCCATTTTGATGACAAGTATCTTCGGACGGAGGGAGTAATATATTGAACTAGCAACAGCACTATAGTGATAAACGCACGGTTCCTCCTAGTTTTCGAAAGAAGAGAAGAAAATAAAAACTTGCCTTGCTGTTCATCTCTTCCCGTGCTTTATTGGCCTCTTCCTCGGAGGCAAATTTCACAAAGCCGAATCCTTTTGATCGGCTGGTCATCTTATCCGTGACAATGGTTGCTGAGCTCGAATAATAACAAGTTGCAACTTAGATCGTAACAAGAAGCAAAACAACTAGCAGTGGAAGTTTGTTCTGGCAAGGGATGAGGATAAACCTTCTAATACTTGGCCATAACGCGTGAAAGCTTCTGCTAGGCTGTCTTCCGTTGCAAATTGTGACAAGCCTGTAAAATGATTAGAAACTAGAACTATGTCAGAGATGCATTTACTAAATTGCATATAACAACTGTATCCAACTGAACTGATCCCAACGAATCTCAAATATGTAGGTTCTTCTATACAGTAATAATTTTCAGCTTGGATGGGTTGAGAGAAAATATTTTTTATATCAATCAACTGAGAAATATATTACTAAACCCAGAGTACTTGCAAGAAGAACATGAAATGAACTGAAACTAGTATGTTAAGTGTTAACCGATGATCGTTCATTGTAAATCAGCAGCAACTAACAAGAGCTTATATGTTGTAATAAAATCTACTCATATTGATAGGGAAATTTTGAAGTTACAATAGTAAAGTTGACCTTAGTAATGTATAACAAATGCTAGTTTGAATTACTTCAGCTCTTTTAGTTAAATTTACCTTTTTCGGAAAGATAGTAAACCCCCTTTTAATTAAATTTACCTAAGTAACCTGATCGCTCATATGGCATTTATAATGGAGCAATAAGTATTCCATGTTTATATGGTTATAAAATCACAAGAGTGTAAGCCCCCTACATGGCAGGTCCTACTCACTGTTGGCATATCGGAGGCAGGCATTTTCGGAGTAAAAAACGAAGATATATAACATTTGGTTACCCATATTGACCTGATAAAGAAAATCTCTGCAAAAGATGGGCTCCATCTCCTAAACTTATTCCCGAGAACATTAGTTGTCACTTAAGCTAGCAAAACAAAATGAGTAACCACGTATGGCAAAGCATCTATTGAAGACCACCACAAGTAAAACACATGCAGCTGCACTGGTAAATAGCACTATTGCAATTTGTCGAACAAGGCATGAAACTGCTGCCCACACGAGCATTTCGTCAAACACTTGCTATGCATGCATCCACGGAGCCACCTGCGCATTCACACGCTTCTGGTAACCACTGCACGCGTGAGAGTGGAGAGCGAACAGCGGGTTGATATGAGACTGGCCGGGGATGCGACGTAAGGGGGGATGTGGGCGAGTGGATGGGTGAAGACTTTAACCTCCGATGAAGAGCTTGTGTGTGATACCGCGAGAGTGCGTGAGGAGCAGCGGGCGCGTGGTGGCGCCGGCAGGGCTCCTCGTGGAGGTGGAGGCCAGGCGGCGGGAGGCCTCACGCAGCGCCGCCATGGCCATGGCTCTGCCCTCTTTCCTTTCCTTGGGGAAGCCGGGGGGACGGAGCCGGGAGAAGCGGGCGGCCAGATCGTCGCTAGGTCTAAGAGAACTGGGAGCTGTCGCGGGGCAGAAATCGTACTACCTCCAGTTTAAAAAAAACATCAGTTTCTCATGGAAATCGGAATCGGAATACTCCAATTCGCACCTTTTTTGCTGCAGAGAAAGGAGTAGAGAACTCAAAATAGACCTGGAGAACGGCCTCTTCGGTTCGAAAAGTTCTCATGCAAAATTTGATTGCATCTCATAAAATAGAATGTGAGGTCACTTTGAAGTACCTTTTATAGAGTATTCTCCATTGACTTAACTTGCTGAAAGTACTCCCCCCATTTTAAAATAAGTGTCTCAAGCTTATTTAACTTTGTACTAAAGGTAATATAGTTATTTTAAGACAGAGTGTCAGCGTCCCAAGTAAAGCCATCGAGCAAAAATGACCAGAGCAACACCAAGTCAACAGGGGATGAGAGCGAGGGAAGAGCTGCAGCAACAGCCGGATCGGCCACGTCAGCTTGAAGGGACGACAAGTAGACCAATCAAGGAGAGGGACGCGTCATCGGTAGGCCAGCGCGGATCAAGCAGCCCAACAGGCGATTCGCAGGTCCGGAGTGGGTGAGCACTACTTAAGATAGGAACGGAAGAGACATAACCATCCGGGCAAGGATCACGAACAAGGCACGGCACAGCATCTATTCCCTTTAGGCCTCCTTTGATTCATAGGATAGAAATTTTATAGGAATAGGAAAATCATAGGAAGTGAGATGACATGCATCTCAATTCCTATAGAGGAAGAGATGTCATTTGGTGTATAGGATAGGATTTTTTCCATTGAGTCTAGGCTAATGTTTTTTCCCTCCAAAACGTAAAGGATTGATACCTATCCTACATAGGAATAGGAATTCATTCCTACAAACCAAAGGGCTTTAAAGGAATTTTTCCTTTGCAAATCCTATCCTATAGAATTCCTACAAAAATCCTACAAACCAAAGAAGGCCTTATTCTTCCTTTCCAAGTTATAACTGAACCAGAGAGAGCTGAGTTGTATCTGTAAGAGAGAAATACAGTTCGTGAGAATCATAAGCTAACATCATGGTATCAGACAGCCAACCACCATCATCCCCCGCCGCCGCACCAACGTCAAGCTGGACACGCGCCGCCGGAAACAAGCTCGGGAGCATCTACTTGCCACCATGGACCCGGAGCTCCGCGCCTACCTCGACAAACTCGACTCCAACGCCAACGACCGCGCCGTCGCGGCGGACGCCAAATCCGACTCCGTCCTGGAAGCGGCTCGACACTCAGACCGTTCGGATCGACGTCCTCGCCGCCTGGAGACCGGAACTTGAGGCGAGATTCGCAAAGTTGGAGCTCTCTGTAGCGGCGCTCCAAGCCGCGTCTCCCTCGACCTCTTCATCAGGTGGATCGCCGCCGCCTGCGACTCCTCTCGCGGCCGTGCACGGGATCCCCAGGCAAACAGGCCACGACGCACCACTGCACTCCGGGGGATCTCCGACGGTGACCCCCGAGTCACCGGCGGCTTCCCCGGTCACGGGTATGACCATGGTTCCCTTGTTGGAGAACGTAGTAATTTCAAAATTTTCCTACGCACACGCAAGATCATGGTGATGCATAGCAACAAGAGTGGAGAGTAACGTCCACGTACCCTTATAGACCGTAAGCGGAAGCGTTATGAGAACGCGGTTGATGTAGTCGTACGTCTTCACGATCCGACCGATCCAAATACCGAACGGACGACACCTCCGAGTTCAGCACACGTTCAGCTCGATGATGTCCCACGAACTCCGATCCAGCAGATCTTTGCGGGAGAGTTCCGTCAGCACGACGGCATGATGACGGTGATGATGTTGCTACCGACGCAGGGCTTTGCCTAAGCACTGCTACGATATGATCGAGGTGGATTATGATGGAGAGGGGCACCGCACACGGCTTGAAACAATTAACTTGTGTCTTGGGGTGCCCCCTTGCCCCCGTATATAAAGGAGGGAGGGGAGGCCGGCCGGCCGGCCTCTCTAGACGCGCCAAGGGAGGACGAATCCTCCTCCTAGTAGGAGTAGGATTCCTCCTTTCCTAGTCCTACTAGGAGGGGAAAGGAAGGAGAAGGGGAGGAGAAGGAAAGAGGGGGTGCAGCCCCTCCCCTAGTCCAATTCGGACTAGGCCCATGGGAGGCGCGCGGCCAGCCCTCGTGGCTTCTCCTCTTTTTCCCTTAAAGCCCACTAAGGCCCATATGTACTCTCGTATTCCCGTAACTCCCCCGGTACTCCGAAAAATACCCAGATCACTCGGAACCTTTCCGATGTCCAAATATAGCCTTCTAATATATCGATCTTTACGGCCCGATCATTTCGAGACTCCTCGTCATGTCCGTGATCTCATCCGGGACTCCGAACAACCTTCGGTACATCAAATTACATAAACTAATCATCACCGAACGTTAAGCATGCGGACCCTACGGGTTCGAGAACTATGTAGACATGACCGAGACATGTCTCCGGTCAATAACCAATAGCGGAACTTGGATGCTCATATTGGCTCCTACATATTCTACGAAGATCTTTATCGGTCAAACCGCATAACGGTATACGTTGTTCCCTTTGTCATCGGTATGTTACTTGCCCGAGATTCGGTCGTCGGTATCTCAATACCTAGTTCAATCTCGTTACCGGCAAGTCTCTTTACTCGTTCTGTAATGCTACATCACGTAACTAACTCATTAGCTACATTGCTTGCAAGGCTTATAGTGATGTACATTACCGAGAGGGCCTAGAGATACCTCTCCGACAATCGGAGTGACAAATCCTAATCTTGATCCATGCCAACTCAACAAACACCATCGGAGACACCTGTAGAGCACCTTTATAATCACCTAGTTATGTTGTGACGTTTGGTAGCACACAAAGTGTTCCTCCGGTATTCGGGAGTTGCATGATCTCATAGTCATAGGAACATGTATAGTTATGGAGAAAGCAATAGCAACAAACTAAACGATCATCGTGCTAAGCTAACAGGTGGGTCAAGTCAATCACATCATTCTCTAATGATGTGATCCCGTTAATCAAATGAAAACTCATGTCTATGGTTAGGAAACATAACCATTATTGATTCAACGAGCTAGACAAGTAGAGGCAAACTAGTGACACTCTGTTTGTCTATGTATTCACACATGTACTAAGTTTCCGGCTAATACAATTCTAGCATGAATAATAAACATTTATCGTGATATAAGGAAATATAAATAACGACTTTATTATTGCCTCTAGGGCATATTTCCTTCAGTCTCCCACTTGCACTAGAGTCAATAATCTAGTTCACATCGTCATGTGATTTAACACCAATAGTTCACATCTTTATGTGATTAGTTCACATCTCCATGTGACTAACACCCAAAGGGTTTACTAGAGTCAATAATCTAGTTCACATCGCTATGTGATTATCACCCAAAGAGTGATCATGTTTTGCTTGTGAGAGAAATTTAGTCAACGGGTCTTCCACATTCAGAGCCATATGTATTTTGCAAATTTTCTATGTCTACAATGCTTTGCACGGAGCTACTCTAGCTAATTGCTCCCACTTTCAATATATGTCTAGATCAAGACTTAGAGTCATCCAGATCAGTGTCAAAGCTTGCATCAACGTAACTCTTTATGACGAACTCTTTGTCACCTCCATAACCGAGAAACATTTCCTTATTCCACTAAGGATATTTTTGACCGTTGTCCAGTGATCCACTCCTGGATCACTATTGTACCCTCTTGCCAAACTTATGGTGAGGTACACAATAGGTATGGTACACAGCATAGCATACTTTGTAGAACCTATGACTGAGGCATATGGAATGACTTTTCATTCTCTTTCTATTTTCTGCCGTGGTCGTGTTTTGAGTCTTTACTCAACTTCACACCTTGCAACACAGGCAAGAACTCCTTCTTTGGCTGTTCCATTTTGAACTACTTCAAAATCTTTTCAAGGTATGTACTCATTGAAAATATATCAAGCGTCTTGATCTATCTCTATAGATCTTGATGCTCAATATGTAAGTAGCTTCACCAAGGTCTTTCTTTGAAAAACTCTTTTCGAACATTCCTTTATGCTTTCCAGAAAATTCTACATTAATTTTGATCAACACTATGTCATTCACATATACTTATCAGAAATGTTGTAGTGCTCTCACTCACTTTCTTGTAAATACAGGCTTCACCGCAAGTCTGTATAAAACCATAAGCTTTGATCACTTTATCAAAGCATATATTCCAACTCTGAGATGTTTGCACCAGTCCATAGATGGATCGCTCGAGCTTGCACACTTTGTTAGCACCTTTAGGATTGACAAAACTTTCTTGTTGTATCATATACAATTCTTCTTTAAGAAATAATGCAGTTTTGACATCCATTTGCTAGATTTCATAAAATGCGGCAACTGCTAACATGATTCGGACAGACTTTTAAGCATCGATACGAGTGAGAAACTCTCATTGTAGTCAACACCTTGAACTTGTCGAAAACATTTTTGCGACAATTCGAGCTTTGTAGATAGTAACACTACTATCAGCGTCTGTCTTCTCTTGAAGATCCATTTATTCTCAATGACTCACCGATCATCGGGCAAGTCAATCAAAGTCCATACTTTGTTCTCATACATGGATCCCATCTCAGATTTCATGGCCTCAAGCCATTTTGCGGAATCTGGGCTCATCATCGCTTCCTCATAGTTCGTAGGTTCGTCATGGTCTAGTAACATGACTTCCAGAACAGGATTACCGTACCACTCTGGTGCGGACCGTACTTTGGTTGACCTACGAGGTTCGGTAGTAACTTGATCTGAAGTTTCATGATCATCATCATTAGCTTCCTCACTAATTGGTGTAGAGATCACTAGAACTGATTTCTATGATGAACTACTTTCCAATTCGGGAGAAGGTACAATTACCTCATCAAGTTCTACATTCCTC